CTATCTATCTATCTATCTATCTATCTATCTATCTATCTATCTATCTAATATTTTTATCTATTTTTATTACACTCCAGTCCAGTAGGTGGCGGTGGTGCGCCTGTCCGTAAACATCATTTGTCATTTACTGTACAAGAAAAAGAAAAACTGTTCGGTCTTTGCTGTGGGAGATCGGCAGATATTTGTTTGGTCGTGATTTGTCCAGTGGCTTCATCAAATGAGGTTAAATTAATAAAATTAACATCTGAAGTTTAAATTTGAAGAAGATGCAGGATGACGCGCGGTACCTTAAACGGTGAGCAGATTATTTTCATGCTGTGGGGTGGATTTCAAATGTTCCTCTACTAAACCAGCTAATTAATTTCTGCATCAGTATGATAATCTATGTCAGTCACGTCGGGTGTAAATATTTACCACATTTGCTTTGAATGAAACTAAGACACGGGTTGTTGAAATTCTACGGCTTCGATGACAGCCCACCACTCTCAAAGGAATTTAAGGAATTTAATATTTACGCACTGCTTTTATAGACTGAAGCATGAATTGTAACATAAACCACAACTAGCGTAATCATTCGGCTCATGTAAAATTAATTTAGCAGCCACCGTTTAATAAAAATCACACTTTTAACCTAATAAACGAGCCCCCTCAACACTGCTTCTTCGTGTTAGCACTATAAAGCAATACTTAAGGAACCAAATTGCTTCCCCGTGTTTTATTTTACTTTATTTTTGTACTTTAACATCATAAAAAGTCGTTAAAGATCAAATCAGGTCTTTTTATCTCCTTCCACTGTGAAAAAAAACGGTTCCGGAGAAAGGAGGGGCTCATGGGAAATCTGGGTTACTGCTAACCCAGCTAGCTAGAATTAGCTCCTATGATTAGCATGGTTGCAAGCTAATAAGCGGTCTTATCCATGTTGTTTATTACGTTACAATTAGACAATAAGTTCAGCTAGTTATCCTTATTTAATTCATGTTTTCTTCTTGCTTTTTACTCGTTGTAATCTTGCATGTTTTTTTTTACTGGGCGTGTCCCCCTCGTCTGTAACTGTGTTGTTGTTGCGCATGAATAACAGGAAAAATAATTACTACTACTATAAAAATAATAATAATTACATTATTTATTGTAATAATTAAGTAACATGTTAATTAATTGAATTAAGTTAATTAATAATAATAATTACATTATTTTTATTAACATAAACTTAATTTCAGTTCAGGGCATTAAATACCTTTAATATTATCAGTATTAATTACATATTAACAACAACGCGTGTCTAGTCTTGTCTTTTAATTACTTGTTTAGATTAGAATGTTTAGATTAGGTTAGATGTCTTTTCGCATTTATTATAGGTCTGTTTGTATTTATTGTTCTGTTGCCTATCTGCACTATGTGTTGTGTTGTTTTTGCACTTTATGTTCTGTATAGCATCATGATCCTGCAGAAACGTTTCGTTTCAACATGTACTTGTACGTAGTAGCTGAAATGACAATAAAACCTCTGACTCTGACAGTTACTCTGATATTTACATTATTTCCCATAGCAAAGTGACTGCAGGCAGTTTGGATGTCCATCCCACAGAGAAGGCCCTGGTGGTCCACTATGAGGTGGAGGCATCAATCCTGGGAGAGAATGGAGGTCCTGTGCTCGGTGAACGCAAAGAAGGACAAAAAATGTGAGTAAACTTCTGATTTTATCTTTGCCTTGTTTGACATTGATTCATATTTTTATCCATTTCTCCATTTCTTCCTGAATTATAAAATTGTCAGGAGGAATTGTATACGGAGGTGATAACTAAAGTCAAAACTTTGGCAATTGAAATAATCACAACTGTGTTGTTTGTTAGTATATTAGTTTGTTCAGTGGTATGCTAAATTATTAGGAGCTATTGGAACTAATGTAAAGCTAGTTTTTCAGCTTAATTTTAGGTTTTGCAATCACTGATAGTAATAATTTTTTTGTAGTTTTTACAAAACTAATAATGCTCAAAGTCAGTTTGCATGTTTCGTGTCATCCTTCACTGGATTATCTTCTTTCTCCTCCTCCAGTATCCGTGTGAAAAGCCTGTCTCCAACTACAGATGTGGCAGCTTTGGCCAGGAAAGTGGTGGAGGAGTGTAAACTCATCCCTTCCTCCCGTTTGCCCCAGGTGGAGCAGCTCCTCTACTACTTGCAGAACCGGAAATCTTCTCCGGTGGAAGGCAGAGGTGATAAATACAGTGATTATTTATTTATTCTTAAGATGTCTCTGTCATCTCTTAATATTGTTTATGCTCAACAACTAGGCTTGATTGATTTTAACAGTATTTAGCTGATGTTAAACAAGCAGGGTATAAAAATCTGATAAATATAAAGATGTATGATCAAATGCAAAACTAAAACTTTCTTCTCCACTACATGGGTATAAAGAAATTTAAAAAAATAATTCATTCTTTTAATCATCAGTGGAAAAGAAGGATAAAAAAGCTGTGAGGCCCAGAGACCTGACACCGTTTGAAGGAATGGAGGTAACAACATGCTACATTTTGTTCCCCGTCTCTTCATTTTTGGAACTACTTTTACTCAAACAAGATCTCTTTGTTACTTTGCTGCTTGTATTTTTATAAAGAGGTATTCAATCATTAAACTTTGCACAAAACATCGAACAAAATTGTTGTTATCCTGTTAATGTACTACTAAAAAGTGCTACATATGACTAAAATGATTTGCATTTCTGTTAATGTGGATTTAATACATTTTTATTAAACAGTGTCTGGGGATTTTTGTTGTACCTTTTGTGTAGCTGAACGAGGAGTCTAGTATAACCAGAATGGATGAGTATGTTGAGTTGCTCTACGAAGGCATCCCAGAGAAGATCAGAGGCTCTGCTCTCATTTTGCAACTCGCTCGCAACCCCGATAACTTGGAGGAGCTGCTGCACAACGGTACGTTTTCACTGCACGTGCTGATGCAGTCACAACGAGTTCAACACTTCTTAGAGCTTGTGATTCTCAGATACTGCATAAAAAAACTAATAGCACTTTATTATCTTGTGCCAGAATGCTTAATCTGTGTGTTTTGTATTTGCAGAAACCGCTTTAGGCGCTCTGGCTCGAGTACTGAGGGAGGACTGGAAACAGAGTGTGGAGCTGGCTACCATTATCATTTACATCTTCTTCTGCTTCTCCAGGTAACACTTAGGCTCAAACGCTGTAAATACTCACACAATGTCATGTCTCGCTGCATCTGTTTTAATCTTTTCCTCCAGTTTCTCTCAGTTTCACGGCGTGGTGAGCCATTATAAAATTGGAGCGCTGTGTATGGGTGTGGTGGAACATGAGCTGAAAAGGCACGATGTGTGGCGTGAGGAGCTGCGCAAGAAAAACAAGGCTTATATCCTTTTTTCTGTCCTTTGCCTCTTTAGTTAGAGATGCTTATTTTTCTTCTCCGTTGTACCCGATTGACTCTGAAAGATTTCCTTAACCTTCTGTTTACGTGAGTCGGCACCAGAAAATGGTTCATTAAGAAGAGACCAGGACAAAGCTCTGAGAAAATACCAAGGCCTTCTGGCTAAGCAGGAGCAGCTGCTCAGAGGTGAAACAAAACTAAAATGGGTTTAGTGCTTTACGATGGTCCAAAACCTGCTGTGATTTTTTTTTTAACTCAAATAAAATAAAATAAAAGTGTCAGATGCTTTATATATCTCCTTGTTTTCTCCACTAGTGTGGCAGCAGCTTTCTCATTGGATGTTCATCTTTCACATAATCAATGTTGTTGCTTAGTGTAGTAGCTAAAATCAAATATGCCATATAACTTTCATTTCTTCTTTTTCTGCTCCTTCCAGTATCCCTTTACCTGCTGCTGAATCTGGCTGAGGACACAAGGACGGAGCTGAAGATGAGGAATAAAAACGTTGTTGGACTGCTGGTCAAAGTTCTGGAACGCGACGATGAGGAGCTGCTGGTCCTGGTCGTTTCCTTCCTCAAAAAGCTGTCCATCTTCCTGGAGAATAAGAATGACATGGTGAGTGAAGGCATGTGTGCCTGTTTACCATAAAAACAAATGCATTTGAGATATTTTACCTCAAGTAGGCGAGCGGTGTGAGTCGAGATAGAACAGCAAACTTGAACTTGGCTAACTTTGTATTTTATCATGTTTTATTCATGCTGTGGTGTGTTTTAGATGAATGTCATTCTTTCAGCTTTGATGAGGCTTGTTTGTCTGTGACCTACAGGCTGAACTGGATACAGTGGAGAAACTGGCACGTCTTATTCCATGTGAACATGAGGACTTGTTAAATCTGACTCTACGTCTGTTGCTCAACCTTTCCTTTGATTCTGGACTCAGAGCCAAGATGGTGGAAGTTGGGCTGTTACCTAAACTGACAGCATTGTTGGGTACGCAATGCACTCTTAAACAGGAGCATGTCACACATGACACTGCATTCATGGCACAGCAATGTGAGCAGGAGGCTGACATTGGATTTTTATGAAAATGTGTCAGACTAGGACTTGTTGATTCAGCATTCACGCTATTTACATTTTCTTCTATTTGGTTTTTTCCACTCTATACTTCTGCATACTTTGTGCTACCTTAACTATTTATGTATCAATATGTTCAGCTCATTCAGGAGATGAGTGCTATGCCTTGTTTTTTTAACTTTTGTACTTTTTAAAATATTTACCGGTACCTTTATTCACAAATATTTTCCCATAGAAATGTCTTGAAATTTCTCTAAATCCTTCCAAAATATTGTTCTCTTTGAAATCTGCTTCAGATGACTTGCTCTGTTTTTGTCTTCTTATGCTACATTTAGCTTTTGGGTAGCCTTTTGGTACTGTTAGCTGTCTTAGCTACCTCTTTGATACTTTACGTTTATGGAGGACAGAATGTGACGAAATAAATAAAAACACAGTACTGAAATGAATCATTTAATTATTAAATAAATCATTAATAAATAAACAGTTAAATTATTAAATACATCAATAACTATACAATAAAATTTTTAAATACACAATTAAATTATTTATTTCATGATTTATTCAGGGCAGCACGGTGGCACAACTGGTAGAGCTGCTGCCTCTCAGCGAGAAGGTTACCGGTTCAAATCCCGGTCCGGGGGTTTTTCTGGGTGGAGTTTGCATGTTCTCTCCGTGCATGCATGGGTTTTCTCCCAGTACTTCAGTTTCCTCCCACAGACCAAAAACATGCATGTTAGGCTGATTGGTAACTCTAAATTGTCCCTAGGTGTGAGTGAGAGAGTGAATGGTTGTTGGTCTCTATGTGTCCCTGTGATGGACTTGAGACCTGTCCAGGGTGTCCCCCGCCCCTTGCACATTGATTGCCGGACATGGGCACCGGTGACCCCCGTGACCCAAAATGGAATAAGCGGGTAAAAGATAATGGATGGATTTATTTATTTCATTTTGTCACATTCCGTCCTCCATAAACGTTGGTCTTTTGTTATATCTGGGGTTTTAGCATTTTTTATCAAGCTGGTGCTCTGCTTTTTTTTATATGTACCAGCTCAGTTTCAGCGTCATCATTTGTCAGCATTCAGACTGTATTTTCACAGAAATTTATATATTATTTGATATCTATTTGAGATACTCTCCTCCCCTTAGAACTGAGCTTTGAAATGATCAGAGCAAGTTTTCCAACTAAACATGCTCTGTGACCCATGTAACATTTTAGTTGTTTAATTTGTGAGGTCTTAGTTTGCACCCTGTAAGACGATTATTTCCATGAGTCCTCTGTGCTCATTGATTAACGCACGGATATGTTTATAGCTGTGTGTATCTTTGTTGTCGTGCAGGTGATGAGAACAACCGGCAGGTAGTCATGCGCATCCTGTACCACATCAGCATGGATGACCGCTTCCGAGGCATGTTTGTTTACACTGACTGCATCCCTCAGGTACAGTAAGATCCACTTCTCTTAGTACTGGTGATTCTTACTTCCAGACTCTGACGTGAAAATGTGCTTGTCTGGAATTAGCTAATGCAAATGCTGTACGATCACTGTGGAGGGGAAATTGAAGCTGAGCTCATGTCCATCTGTATCAACTTGGCTGCAAACAAGAGGAATGCACAACTAATATGCGAAGGTAGTTCACTTTTTGCACCAGTTGATATTTATCAGTAAACACAGAAATCTGGAGTTTAATAACTCCATCTGAACTAAAGTCTGTTTTACTCTGTGCAGGAAATGGACTGAAGATGCTTATGAAGAGAACTCTGAAGACAAAAGACTGCCTCCTGATGAAGATGATCAGAAACATCTCGCAGCACGACGGTCCAACCAAACCACTGTTTATAGTAAGTTATAATGGACACGATGACGAGAGGCACAGTTTGGTTTTTATTTAAAAAACAAAAAGTATTTTTTTAGGTTTAGGAAAGAATTTTATTGATTTGTGATATGAATATTTTCTGTTAGGACTACGTAGGTGACCTGGCTGCTGAGATCCGTACTGAAGATGATGAGGAGTGGGTTCTGGAGTGTCTGGGGACGCTGGCTAACCTCATCATCCCTGACCTGGACTGGGAGTTGTTGCTGAAGGAGTACAACCTGGTGCCTTTCCTCAAAGACAAACTCAAACCAGGTGCTGACTAGAGGCTACCAAACAGCGCTGACTGTCATGTCACCTGCCTCCACCCTCATTTACCCCACTTTTGGCCCTTGAGCAAGGCCCTTAATCCCATCATCTGCTCTCAAACAGGTCTCTCTTGAAAATGAGTTCTCATGACTCAATGAGACTACCTGTAAATAAAGGGTAAATAAAACAAATATAAAAAGGTATTTCTTGGAAATGAAAACTACACATATGTAAAATACTAAAACAGATTTGCATGATAGATCATTTTATATTTAATTTGACCTTTGTTTCAAAAGTCCCTTTTTTAAAGACCTAAAATTGTTAAGAATAGTAGATGACAAGGAATGTATTGCTATTAGCCAACATATACGTTTTTGAAAGGCAGTGTACTGCAACATCCTTACAAATTGTTTAATGTAATATACAATTAAAGGTTTATATATTTATATATATATTAAATACACCCAGGAAACAATAACAAGTCTCAAATGAGTCCTCCAAATTTCTAGTCAGCTTTATTTGTTTGTTTTTTAGACTCGGCAGAGGATGACCTGATCCTGGAGGTGGTCATAATGATCGGAACCGTATCCATGGATGACGCCTGCGCAGTCTTGTTGGCGAAATCTGGCATCATTCCCGCCCTTATTGAACTACTGAATGGTAAAACCCTACCTGTGGATTTATTAAAAACATAGGTTGTATTTAGGATTATTACCTACTTTCACTTAATGTTTTATCTTGTTTTTTGGGGTGTTCTTTCAGCTCGCCAAGAGGATGATGAGTTTGTGTGTCAGATTGTTTACGTCTTCTATCAGATGGTGTTTCACCAGGCTACTCGAGACGTCATTATCAAAGACACCCGTATCCTTCCCAGAGTTCACTGCAACCGACTTGCACAGCTTTCAGCACAAACAGCTGAGTTTTAGTTTCCCAAGCTGTAGCGTTTCTGTAGTTTTCTTTAATCGTCTCTGCAGAGGCTCCAGCTTACCTGATAGATCTGATGCATGACAAGAACGTTGAGATCAGAAAAGTGTGTGACAACACTCTGGACATTATTGCTGTGAGTGAACCACCGTGTTTCTGATACAAACATGTAGCACGCTAAGATTTAGATACACCCTGTAAGGATTTTGTCTGTGCTCCAATATATATCTTTTTCCCTTTAGGAGTATGATGAGGAGTGGGGGAGGAAGATCCAGTCAGAGAAATTTCGTTTCCACAACAACCAGTGGCTGGAGATGGTTGAGAGTCGCCAAGTTGATGAGCCTGAACCGTACCTCTACGATAACGACAACGAGAGGACGGATTTGTTCTACAGTGCAGGTGCATGCAAAAACCCAAAGATACGTTTTTAAAAACTGACGAGTCTCCCTGAGTTGCGTCATCCTCTGACAAACCTTGAATCAAAGGCTGAAGCAGTCTGCGTGATGGAGCGTTTTAGTGCTCGTTGCAGTCAAAGTACATGTAATTAATTTGTTTTTCAGCATATTTCACAGTAGAAGACGTATGAACTGTATTTTCGCTCCGTAGCTAAATTTAACCATGTTTGGATGAAACATGTCAGAGGACTTTCTGACGTTCATCTGGACTTTTTCTTTTGTTACCGATAAGAATTCAAAGCCACATTGTAACTCCTGCATCACACACCAGCTTCAGAATCAACGGTTTGCTCCATGACTTTGTGTTTTGTTAGAGTTTACTGTCATTCTGTGGTCTCTCTACCAAATATTTGCATTTCTCTGTCATTTACACACCGCCTGGTTTCTAAACTGCTTTACAGGTTTAACACGGATACAGAACAGAGAAAAGTCACCAAGTAAAAGAGGGATCCTCATCTTTTTCATCTCAAGTCTCTTAAAGCAGCACAGTTCTGTCATTTTTTAAAGCCAAACAAGTTAAAGCATCTTTAAGATGGCCCCCACTACTAATCAACCTTATTGAACACAAAAATGACTCTTTTATTCATCTACTTCAGTCTTTGAAGTTTTTGGTGTCAGTATATATATATATATATATGTAAGGCTCATTTGGTGATGACAGTATTAATAATAAAGTATTATTTAGAAAATACTGAAACTGTCACCATCTGCCACAATGATGAACTTTTGAATCATTTGTCTTTATTTTGTGAATTCACTTCCAGATGGAATAACTCCAGCAGATGGCTCAGTCAGTCCGGATTTCTTCAGTGACCTGCAGCCGCAGAACGGAGACTCACACCTTGCAGGGTGCGTTCACACACACCACAAAATGAGGCTTGAATTAGCCTCAGTTTGCACATTATTAAATTAACTCTTTGCTGTTTGTCTGTATCAGAGATGTAGGTGACGTCTTTGACCAGACCGGCTCCTCTCCTGGTCGACCAGTCACCGCGTACGGCTTCAGACCCGACGAGCAGCCTTTCTATCAGTACTCGTAGGCGCCACGTGTTTGGTTCTGCACATCGTCTCATGTTAAACTCATTCCACATCTGTCATGGTGCACATCTAGCTTTATCACTGCTTCAACCATCGTGACCCAGTTTCCTGTAGTTACAGAGTTGTCACTCAAGCTGAAGTGAAGGTTGTAAATAAGGACCAAGACATTAGAGCTGCAGGTTTGAACTGGTTCTGCTCAGTTACCTTTTATTTACCTTTTTTAATTCATTTACCAGTCTTTTTTTAATTCCATTTTCTGATCGTCTTACGGTTAAATATTCAGAATGGAATGATCTTACTGGTTTTGTTGTCAGGTTTGCATGTTATAACTATTTAAAATATTTATTAATACTTCAAACCTACTTAAAACAACTAAAAGGTAAAAATATAAGTTACGGGGTTTGATTTCCACTTTGTTTCTGCAACATCGTTGTTGCTAAAGATGAGGTCAGGATCCCACTGTGGGTCATAAAACACCAGATCGGGGGTCTTAAGATGATCTGCACAAGTAAAATTAAACTGTTGACATATTTATGCTTTATTGATAAAGCAGTAGTAAGACATAAATATGAATATTATAATTGTTGAGTCTGTTTTATGCTCTTGTGTAATTAGGCGTGGTTGTTTTTTCCTCTTCGGACTGCGATGTCTCTTATTGTTGCTGTAACGCTGTCGGAGCCACAGTCGTCTTAAAAACACGCTGTACAATGTGCCCAGGTTCTGATCTTTCTAACCCAGTTCAAACGGTCAGAACTGAATCAGAACCACTAAACAAATTGCTGATGGTTGAGTCAGGCTTTTTGTTTAGATTTGGTATCGATTTGTTGAGACACAAGTCTGCAGCAGAGTTTGAGCCATGACTGTGGGTTTTAGTTGCTTCTTTAAAATGTGAACTCTTCAACACATCCTATACTGAGACCAATAACAATGCATGGAATATTTATTAGACCTAATTTTAGTCCTGCTGAAGAGAATGAAGGTTGGATTTTTAATCTGCAAGAAAGATTAAGTCGCTGAAGTTCTCAACACGTAAAGTGATGCGTCACATTTTTGATATGGAAAATTAAAAATAAGACCTTTTTTTAATGATTTCTCTAGACTACGTAAAAACTCTTAGATAAAATATACTTATCCAAGTTTAATTTAGAGAATTAAACTTAGTTAAGTTTAATTCTCTAAGTAATGCAATCAAACCAGTTTAAATCTAGTGGAGTTAGCTACAAAAGTGTTTATCTTTTGCCAGCACATAACTTGGGCCAATTAGAGCATCATACATGGTACTAATATAAAACCTCACCAGTATTATTATTTTATTTTATTTTTTTTACAAAATAAAACCTTGTTTTTGCAGATAAAGTAGAGCCTGTGTCCAACTCCAAAAAAAAAAAAAAAAAGCTAGTTGACCCACCACAGCACAACCCTGAGCCTGCATCTGTCTCTGTAAACATCGCACCGATGCAGGAAACAAACGAGATCATTTCACAGTGGTTCTCAAGCATCGCCAAAAACATGAGCTCCATTAAATGAAGTACTTGTAAGGAGGGGGACTGATGATCCGTCTGCAGGACACTGATAAACTTTATCTCTGCATATTTTGCACATTTAATTTCAATGCATGTCTTTGTCAGAATTATCTGTTTTATTTTTTATAGTTTATTACTTATGAAGACGCTGTATATGGTGGAGTAGAAAGCTTTTTCATCTCATACTGTCATTTATCCTCAGGTTCTTTTAATAAATAAAGTCACTACATATGATACGACTTGTCATGTGTTCAGTTTTATTCTGGGTTTTATTCAGACTCCTGGTGGAGGCTCCATGTTCATTGCGTCTTTATTCTCAGGGTCTTTAGTTCAGGAGGTTCATTTTGCTTCAGTTCATTGAGAATGTTCATAAAGTCACTTACTGACTTTTAGTTGTGCTCCCTCATAATTTATCAAAGGAGCCCCAATAATTAACATTAAAATTGTAGATGCCTAAATGTTTCATAGACAAAAAGACCAAATGGTTAAAACACCAAAACAAAACTATATTCCATAAACTTTTCGGAGATCCTTCTGGGAATAACTCGTGCGTTTAGTTTATTCTCTTTCATCTCAAGCACAAATACTTGGGACACACAGAAGATTTGAGATGAACTGCTGGATGCACGTTTTATCGAAGAGTTTGTGTTCATCATCTGCACGCTGTCATTTAATGATTTGATAAGCCGTGTTGCGTTTTCTAAGAATTGTTAGGAAAGGAAACTATTTTTTTTTAATTTAGCAATTTAATCATCTTGATTATTTAGAAAAACGAGGTGAAAATAGACATGAACAATGCTCTGAAAAGGATTACAGAAAATGTAAATTTTTGTTACTGAATTATTAAACTGAGCTCCTCAGTTCTCGTCTCTACCATCTAATAATCAGAAGGAATGTTTCAGTAACCAGAGGATCGATGTCCGACTTAAAGTCAGGGTGAGCTGCTGGTGGAGCCGGGGGTGATCATCATCTCCACTTCAGTGATTTCAGTCACAAGTTCTCTGATGACAGCCACACTGTCCGGCAGGAGCTCCTCAGCTGGCTCAGGATGGTGGAGAACCTCTCTCTTTGGACCTTTTTTTGTTTCTTCTGCTGCTTCCACCTCCTCTTTCTGCATCTCTCCATTAAGCTCAGCTCCTGTCTCATCATCCAACCTTTCCTCGCTCGCTCTCTGCTCTGTGGTTGAGATGAAGGTGCTCTCTCCTGGTGATGAACACGACCTGCAGCTCTCATCAACAGACTCATGTGTCTGGGATTCATCTTCCACTCTGCTCTCTTTGGTTTCCTCTTTCTCTGCTGCTTCTTTCTGTTTTCCCTCCATTGCCCTCTCCCAGTTGTCCTTCATCTGCCCCGTCAGGTAGATGGCTCGATCCGTGTTCTGCTGAACCTGCAACCCAGCAGGCTCTGTGGAGCATGGAGCGATCGCTTCACTCAGTGATCCAAGACTGATTTTGATCGGACCATCTGTCCCAAGTGAGCGTGTCGGAGACGGAGGATTCTCTAATATTTGATCTGAGGTCGAGAGGTCAGCTGTGGCTGTGTTTTCACAACATGAATCATCACTTTGAGAACATTCAGCTTCACTGTTTGACCGGACCAAAACCAGAAGACCTGGGTCAGCAGAGTGTGAGGTTGTGGTTCCTGGATCAATAGAGTCTGGAGTTTTGGATCCTGGGTCTGTAGAGTCCGAGGTTGTGGGTCCTGGGTCTATAGAGGCCATGGTTGTGGGTCCTGGGTCTGTAGAGTCCATGGTTGTGGGTCCTGGGTCAGCAGAGTCTGGGGTTGTGGATCCTGGGTCTGTAGAGTCTGAGGTTGTGGGTCCTGGATCAATAGAGTCTGGAGTTTTGTATCCTGGGTCTGTAGAGTCTGAGGTTGTGGGTCCTGGGTCTATATAGGCCATGGTTGTGGGTCCTGGGTCAGCAGAGCCCGGGGTTGTAGGTCCTGGGTCAGCAGAGTCCGGGGTTGTGGATCCTGGATCTGTAGAGTCCATGGTTGTGGGTCCTGGGTCTGTAGAGTCTATGGTTGTGGGTCCTGG